CTGCTCCATGCCCTTGTCAGACTCTCCCGCCCCCCACCCCCCCGTCGCCAGAAGAGCCTCTATCATAACAGAAACAGCTGCTGCTCATTCACACAATTGCGACACTACAAACCGACCTTCTGCTACTGAGAGATTTGCTACTACCTCCACGCTAGCATTACTTAGCCGATCAAGAAACCACACAAGTTACACACAGACAAAATACATGTAATGAAGCTCGTAATTACTGTGGTATTAACCAATAATTTAATTACTCACATTAGGAGACAGATGCAATTACAGGCTTCTAACAAGCATATTATTTGATTGCCATGCAGTAAAATAACGTTTATGATGCAGGTAATTATTTTCGCTTTAAATAAAATATTTTCAGTAAAAGCAATAGCCCTAAGCTTATTGCTATGCACCCTGAGATTAAAATGGACAAATTAGACTGAACATAAATGTAACAATTTTCACAAGTTAAGCCAAATTTCAATGACCATAATTAATAAAGGCTTTTAGCATACTAATGAGAAATTAATTTAAAATGCCTTTTGATATCTCTACAACCTTCTTTGCCAAATCTGTGAACCCTCTCAGCTAGAATATGAAATTATTCTAACAGGAATTAGTTGATTTTGCATGCAAGTCGAACGTCATCACAACGATGCTAGGGTGTGGTAAGTGGGTTTTCAGGACGTTGATATATGGTTACCAAGTTGTTCTGGGTGGGTTTAGTATGGTGTTATGTGGTTGCTAAGGTGTTCTGGGTGGTTATTTACTGCCCCAGGTCAAGAGTCAATCAAGTCTCTATGACATCCTGGTCTCTAAATTTGGCTCTGCTTTTTCTTTAATGCAAGTTCACCAAATATTTATTTATTTTTTGCTCTTTTATCAGGTGAAAATCCTAAGTCCCATATCACTCATATCACCATGTGTTCATTTCAAAATTATCCCATGGGGTTTTTTAATGTATAAGTAAAATAAGATCTGTATAACTTGACGATACTTGGGCATTTTGTTGCATAACAAAGTGCATTCACTCACAATCCAAACTTATGTAGTTACTTAAACATAACTGCTTCAAAATTCACATTTTCAATATGGGTACGTGTAATTTACATTGTAGAGAGATGGGTATGTGTAATTTACATTGTAAATCTTGAGGGATCCTAAGGAGAATTAGACGTCCGGGATGAGTTATGACTCAGACAACATGGTGATGAGATGACACCAACTTCATCAAACAATAACTGTAACTATATCAACATGCAATATTTTTGAAACATTATTTGAATGTTATTAAAAAATTATTTTCATTGACAAAAAGGAGACAATATGTGCCTCATAACTGAATGTGACTAAAATATTACTAAAATGTCAACAGTTACTGACTGATTAAAATGACTAAAATGCCCACTGTCAACTAAAACTTTCTAAAACAGAAAACAAGTTAAGATTGACTACATATTATGAAAGCTAACAAAGGACATTTGACAGGATTAAGACTAATTTAAAAATATAGATGCCCAAATTAACACTAGTGCAGGCTTATGTTCCAAAACACAACAGTAGCATCAGCCATCATTACAACTGACAGGATCCTATGGCTCAACAATAAACAGCTCTGTGCTTGAGTGCTGAGGTTCAATATTGTATACGGAAGCAACAAGCATCATTATATATCTGTTAAAAAAAATCATCTCACCATCTCCTTGTGAGCCCTGTTGTAGGAGGAACTGCTGTCCTTCGTTCCATTGCCGTTCCAGCAGCTGGTCGATGCTGGTGGCCACCGGGGGCAACATATCCGAACCAGATCCGAGCCCTGGAACCAACGGTCCTGACGAGTCATACCGGATATGAAGCCCACTTAACGGAGACCTAAAGTAATTTACAGAAAACAAGCGAGATATCTATACACACAAGTTTAACAAACATAGCTCAAATTTGTCTCATTATGAATTTAACATGGAAATGCATATCAGATCTGTTCAGTGGTACAATTCAGGTTATAAATAATCAGCTTTCGCTTACAAACACACACTAGACTGCTGCTATATTAACAACACAGTTGAACTCCTGGTCTGGCATCCTGCCTTCAGAGGCAGACGTGCTGCTCAGTAAAGCCAAATGGAGTTCACAGCTTGTCCAAGTGAGAGAGCCTGGGTCTGCCTCTCTGACACCATAAATCTCAGTATGCACTTGTTTGGACAGACAGCGGTCTGTGTTATTATGAATACATCCAGCTCTGGGCTCTACATCAGGGCTCTTGGGTGAACGTGAATCTATCTCTGAGGTAATTACGGCTGGGCTGAGATGTGCTCCTCAAGGCAATAAATCTCCAGCACAGGACTGTGAAGCCATATCACCCTGCATGGCTGCTCCGGTGCGGATCACAGAAACGGCACATACAGATATTCGCAGTTAATCTGAAGATGGTGCAGAACTCTCCTGAATGAGATTCATGGACTAGAGATGTTTTTGGATCTTGGATCATGGATGTAGAGAAGTTTACATTTTTAACTTGAGCGACATGTTTTTAAAACACTGTGTCTTGTGCGAGACTGCAAAAGATGCTAGATGTGAGATCAGCAGACAAATATGTCCGTCTAGCACGTTTACATAGAAAAACAATCGAAAAGCAACAGAGTAGAATGCAAAAACGTGTTTAGTGTGAACGGCTTCTTGTACCTTCAGTATTAAAAAGGCTGCCATGCAACCAGACAAACTGACACACTCAGAGTTTATAGCAATATTGTGCTAAATGCATTTCTCAAACTCACATTACGACTAAAAAGACTAAATTGATCTGAAAAGTCAAATACAGCATTTTAAAATAATATATAGTTTATATTAATATCCATACATTACATACACTAAAGTGGCAATGAAAGTACATCAAATAAACCCACTTTTTAAATAACAGAAGCAATCTAAATGAAACTCAGAAAATCAACATACCTTTTCAACCAAACATATTATATCCCAGAGGCATTTTTGTGCAGTATATATATGCTTCCGTATAAATCCATTTTATATCCTTAATCACAGAGCAAAAAAGGCTACACCTCAAGTTACAGAAAATGAATGCAATGTTTCTTCCTGCGTTAGAAGACATCGCTGCCACGTCGAACTCTGAAACCGGCTTGTAACTGCGATATGGACAACAGCTGCGTGCTCAAAAAGCCTGCTGTTCAGAAGGTGAGCGTGCAAGGGAGGAAACGGAGTGAGTGAATGAGTGTGTTCTGTGGGGGAGGGAGGGAGGGTGGAATCTCGGAGCCTGGAGGAGGGGAAGTCTAGCTCTGGAATGTAAATAGGACTTACCGAGGGGAGAGGTTTGTCTTTGGCGAGTTTCCTCTTCTGGAGAAGCCGAGAGCTCCGTCTCCTAGCTCCTGATCTGAAAGGTAAACAGAAAGCAGTCGATAAGGAGCCGGCGTGAAGATGTGGGCATTAGAGGAGCCTGGGAAATGCAGGGACGGGCAGCTCGATTCAAAGTGAGCCTGGTAGCCATCAGATCTTCCTCACAGAAATCCATCTAGGGGCGGCAGAGTGGTCTCTCTGGCGGCTCAGCTTGCACACTGACACCACTGAGTGTGTCACTGAGTCACCTCTCTCTCTCTCCCCCTCCCTCCAGCTCTTTCTTCCCTGTGGAGGCTCCCATCACCCTGCCTGCAGGCCCCATGCCAGACACTGCTTTTCATTTTCGGCAGTGAAAGTAATGAATCACATATGCGCCTCGCCAAGCACAACCCACTCCCTCTTTTTTTTTCTCCCCCCCCCCCTCCAGTCACAGTTAGCCAATCCCATTTTTCTCTTCCTCCCTGCTTCCTTCCCCCCTTCTTTTCCTTTTTCACCCCATCTTGTTCTTTTTAACACTTTCCAGCCCACTACCACCTCGAGCGCAGGCTGGCTCCAGTGGGGGTGTGGGCACATCAGTACGAGCCGCCCAAGGTCTGACTTATTATGGTGCTGACCTCTTGCCTGACCCTGGATCAGTCCCCGGGGCTGCAGTGCAGACTGGACCCGAAAGCATCGGGTATCACTTTACAACATAAAAAAAAGACAGAAAGAACAGGAACTGAACGACACAGTGGAAACCTATGAGGAGCAACAGGTGACCAGCGGTTAGAGGGAAGCACAAGTACTTTGCAAAAGTAAACAAGCCTTGTGTCACAGGCACAGCCTCACTGATATAATTATACATTTTTAGATTTTTAGTTTTTTTTTAATTGACCAACACCAATATCTAGACAACAGGGTGGCCAATGGCTGATAGATACCTGACATTTATTAAATGACATCAAATTAGATAAGGTGTAAACAAATTTCCTAAATATTTATAAAATATTTATTATATAAAATATTTATTAAATGCACTAAAAATAAAAAGTACACCTATATTATTACCATTAATTTATATTATACTTTATATAATACAATAGATTAGATATTGTAATAGATTTACATTTAGAATATGTTTACATTATTTTTTATATTTATAAACTATAAAGTTATACGTACGCGTGTGTATACACACAACCATTCAAAGAAACCTCTTATGCTCTCCAAGGCTGCATTTATTTGATCAAAAATACAGTAATATTATAAATTATTATTATCTAAATTGAAAATCTAAAATCTATTTTAATATATTTTAAAATGTAATTTATTTCTGCAATTATTTCGGCAAAGATGAATTTTCTGCAGCCATTACTACAGTCTTCCATGTGAAATGACCCTCCAGAAATCATCATAATACGCAGATTTTTATTAAATTCTTTTTTTTAAATCATACTGACTCTAAACTTCAGAACGAATATATATCAAAATGTTGACATATAAACCAAATTATCAACCCGCTCAATATATATCCCCTACTTTATACGTGCTGCGCTGTAAACTAATGCCAGACAAGAACTGGGCTTATGCTAATAGCATGCAAGCTTTGCAGTCTTGAGCAGTGGTCTCTTTAAGGACGGGTGTTCTTTCTCCTATTGTTAATCAAATGACCCCCTGACCTCTGTTTGGGGAGGAGGGCATGACTGATCCATTATTCCTCAAAGGCTGTGTTCCCCTTTTTTCCTCTCTCTCTCTCTTGCTTTCAACTGTCCCCACCCCAACCCCCATGACAGGGTCCTGCAAGCCCATTCGCTCATGACTGAGACCCCCAGGGTTTAGGCAGGGTCCAGGGAAAGTGTTGAGTGGTCCGGGATGGAGGGAAAAAGGAGGGAGAGGCTGAGTGTAAGGTAAGCCTGCCTCCTAAACCCAGGGCAATCCCCTCTGTGTCATCACTGCGGTCATTGTGCAGATTAATGAAATGTTTCAGTGGTAGCATGCTTCATTTAACAGGTATGCACACTTTCAGCTTTCTGTCCCGGGGAGTTTTGTTCTCTGCCTCTCCCTCTCACTGCGACCTGAGGAGGTTAGGAGGGGGGATACAGCTGACCACACATTCCATATGCACAAGAGAGCGGAGAAAGAATGGGAGGATGAGGAGAAATGGGAGAAGAGAGCACAGGAAGCAGGAGGAAAGGATTTGAGAAGGTAATCCTGTGCCAATGGGAGGTACCGGCTAAAGATCAGTGTGGTTCCTCATCTGTGTGTCTCACCTGCCGGGGAGCCCTCAGACTGGGCGATCAGTGCAGCCATGCTGGAATTCGGATTCAGCCTGTTTCCGAACATATGGGTTGGCGCCAGGTTAAAGGATCCCGGGAGAGAGTTTGACTAAGGAAGAAACACATAAGAAAGAGAGTTAGACTATAGAACACTATCAAATTCCAAATACTGATGGAGCGTAAGTATGTGTCTCTGCATGTGTGCATATGAATGTGTGCTAGAGTGTTGAGCCAAAGAGCTGGATGATAAAACACCATGTCAGCTGTATTTCCTGTGAGCCAGGAGAATTGGCTGAGCATGCAACAGCAGATCCACAGCCCTGAACAACATACAGACCATGTGCTTCTGCAGCTAATTATTTAATCCAATTAAGCCATTTCCCTAACAATGGCTGGGATTGGTTTCGGTGTTGCTTCTGAGTTAGCAGCATATGTGCAACAACAAACTTGGTGCATGGTGGAAACCACACAAATGTTCACATGATTTGCACTTAAATAACACTTTTGCAGTGGAATAATGTTGTAAATAGCAGGGAACTGTTGGGAAAATTGAAGAAGTTTTATTCAAATTTTACATAAATATAGATGATTACTCCTATTTATTCCAATTTACAGACTACACTTCCATTTATTCAACAAGGACGCGGTATATTGATCAAAAGTAAAGTAAAGACATTTATTTATAACAAAAGATTTCTATTTCAAATAAATGTCAATTCATCCGAAATAAATCCTGAAAAAATTTTTCATATCTTCAACAAATCGATTAGGCAACACAACTGTTCAAAACTGGTAATAATAGTAAATGTTTCTTGACCACCAAATCAGCATATTGGAATGATTTCTGAAGGATTATGTGACACTAAAGTCTCGAGTAATGGCTGCTGAAAATACATTTTAAAATACATTAAAATAAAAAAATAAATAAAAAAAACAGTTCATTTAAATTGTAATAATATTTCACAATATTACTGTTTTTACTGTATTTCCCATCAAATAAATATAGCCTTGGTCCTTTTGGGGAAAAAAATGCATACAGTGCTTATTTTCATCAAATCAATAAATTCTTTCCTTTTCCTTTGCTCGCTTTATCTACACCAAGGCCTTATCTGATCCAAACAGAAAATAACGCTAGCTGAAATTACAATGTATTGGATTTCTTGCTGTTACTATATAATAATGTCTTTATGTGTAACTTAAGGATTTCTGACCATATTGGACTGAAACACATTTGGTGGAAATCACTCCTACAAATGACCATTGAATAGACAACTATACAATGCCAACGTTTAAACCAACCTTGAAAACCTTCTTCTTTTATGGATCTTCTACTAATAAATAAAGGATGTAAAAATGTGATTTATGGTGCTAAAACATGGAGCAAAAAAAAGGTTATTTGATCCTGACACTGAATTTGAACTGCCTTAGCTATTGAAAAAAACAAACAAAAAACAACTTGCGTTTAATAACAATAAAAACTGTCTTCAAAGTCTTTACTTTTTTTTTTTACATGTCTACTACAAAAAAAAAAAAAAAAAAGTGATATCCTACATTCCCCAGGCCTCTCATGTCCCCGCAGACTCCTCTTTCAGACCGTGTGGAGAGAGGAGGGAGCATGACCAGTATGAAGAGAACCCCTCATCCCACTACACAGCTCTCTGTCCAGCCTGTCAGCCCTCATCCCGTCAGCGAGCTCAGCTCAATGCGCCCGCACAGGGAAAAGAGGGACAGCCGGATTGTTTGAGGCTTAGGGCTCTCAGCACTATTGTGGAGGTTAACGAAGAGTGGGACAGAGGTGGGCCTATGGGGTGTGCGCTGGGGTCAAAGGTCACCGCTGCCCTGTTGCAACCTCTGAATTTTTTTCGTCCAACCAATCCACAAAGGGAGAGTTAGGGATGGCGAGGAAGGAAAAAAAATCTCAGGGACGGTCATGCTGACGGAATAAAAGATGAGTGTTTGATACATTATATTCAATAAAACATCATGTTATGTATCTATTAAAAATTAATTCTATTCCTGACCCCAGACAAAGTTTTAAATACGTCGCTGTTTACTGATCTTCTAACTACAACCTAGTGAAGAAAAAAGCTCACTGTATTAAATCTCCTATGCCATAAAGCTTAGGACTAATGGGGATATTTGAAAGCGTGCGTTAGGAGGGGCTGGTCTGGCAGGAGCCCTGCAGCATTAAGGCCATCAGTGGGTTTACTTCATCTCCTAATGTAAGGCCACCCTGCCTGCAGAGAGATCAGATCTGAACAAACAAAGTCCTGTTGCCTGGAAACGACCGGTTGCTACAGCAGCGCAAGTCAAGACAAAGATGCCCAGGAGAGCGGCAGAGATCGTGCTCAGTCTCTAGTGCGCTTCCAAAGGGCCCATTTGGAGCTGCGCTGGGAGCCTGTAAGAATGACTTGACGTTATTATTGTCATCTGAACACATGCAGTAGTCCATCCATGTGTGGGAGGGATTCTTAAGTCATTTATGATTTATGAAGGTATTTATTCATAATTTTTTGTAACATTATACATTCACTATTTCCATTCACTATTTAAATGCTGTTCTTCCAAACTTTCTATTCAACAAATAATCCTGAAAAATTTATCACAGTGTAAACAAAAATATTAAGCAGCAAAAACGTTTTAACACTGATAAGAAATGTTTCTTGAGCACCAAAATCAGCATATTAGTGTTATCATGTGACAGTGAAAACTGGAGTAATGGCTGCTGACAATTCAGCTTTGCCATCACAGGAATAAATTACATTTTAAAATGTATAAATATAAAAAAAAATAGCTACTTTAAGCTGTTCTTACTGCATTTTTCATCCAATTAATGCAGCCTTGGTCAGCAAAAGTGACTTCTTTCAAAAACATTAAAAAAATCTTACCAAACCTCAAACTCCTAAACACACACACACATATACATAATTACTGACTCAAAGCAATAATATAGCCAACATAAAGACAATTATGGCACTTTTCTCACAATGTCATGTCTGTTTATTTGACCACACATAATGCTCTGACTAGCTAATACAAACACAATCGAAACAACCTGACGTTCATCCGTTAAGACCATATACTTAAGCAGCCTAGTCATAAATACTCTAAATGACTTAAAACACTGTTGTTCAAGAGCTGAAAAATGAGGTCTGAAGAGATGAACTTTACTTCTCACACTGACATGTTATGTACCATTGTGGCCCAAAGACGGCCTCCCGCATACTGTTAACATACTGCTGCGATTATATAAATATTGCATTATCTATCACAAATCCTGGCACTTGCGAACCAAATTCATTTGTTCTGTAGAAAGAAAAAATCCCGTCACAGAGAAAAATAAAGTTACTTAATACATAAATAGCTGCACCCAACATTTACATCTGAGCCTTTTAGGAGTTAATTACTATTTGTGCCATGAACATGCTCAAACAGCATTTATCTAGATAAAACTGGAGCAAATTAGCACACAGTACAAAGAAAATGAGTATAATTCTATTTAATTGGTTAATTTTGTGAGAGATGATGTATAAAGGATATGTGTGTGCTGAAAGCTCTGTGTGATTAACAGTACAATATTTGTTCGCAGATGTTGATTTTTTAAACTTTTTTATAAAATCTAGGTATGGACTTTTTGCAGATATACACTACTGTTCAAATGTTTGGCGTTGGAAAAATGTATAAATGTTTTTTGAAAAAATGTTTTATGCTCACAAAGACTGCATTTATTTAATAAAAAAAAACAGTAATATTTTGAAATTCTATTACAATTTCAAATAATTTATTTCTGTGACGGCAAAGCTGAATTATCAGCAGCCATTACTCCAGCCTTCAGCGTCACTTGATCATTCAGAAATCATTCTAATAGTGCTCAATTTTAGCCTGGAGTCACATTTTAATACTTGTAATCATTTTAATCTTTCTTATATTCATTTGCCCATTTCACTAAAACCAAACCTGAATTTAAATAATCGAACAAACATATACAGAGTGAGCACTGAGCATGAATATGTAATAAGGTCCATTAAACACTCACATGTGTGGATGAGGTGCTGGTGAACGGGGCGGTCGGGGGCAGTGAGGTGAGAGTGGGCATGGAAGTGACTACTGACTGATGAGCAGGTGACCCTCCAAACACCGCACTGGGCAATGGGCAGGCTACATCACTACTGCTGGGGTACGAACCTGCAGAAAGACAGCAATTACAGCAAATGATTAAAGTGAAACAGCACATTTTCAATGATAATCACTTAGCCAAACATTCTCTTTTGGTTCCCACATAGTCAAAAATAACATTGTCTTGTTTATCAGCAGGAGATCTGGCATAGCAACTGGGGGATGTTAAACAAATCAACGTAGGTTATGACCTGTAATCTAGTGGTAAAAACAAAGTTTTAATAGCTGTAAGGGCAACCTCTGTCCTCCAATATACCTTCACTGGTTATCCATCTATCTTTCCCGCTGCCCCTGAGATGAACTTTGTGGACTTTGAATGGCCTGTCTGACCAGGCCCTCATCACAGCAGACATCGAGAGCGAGCACAAAGCATTTTGGAGTTCTCTCAACATGCACTCTGCATCAGCCTCCCGATGACCCAGAAAACAGTTCCCTGAATCTGACGACTCACTATTTCTTCTGTAAAAATGACTGAGGGCTTTTCAGGCAGGGCTGGGGAGGAGTGCGGCCCATTCATATTTATGTGCCGGTTCGTGACATGCACGCTGTTTGTTGTTGCTGTTGTTTTATTGATTTTTTTTTTCCCCTTTTCTCTCTCCCTCCTCCCATGCCACCATCTCAAATAAACCCAGCTGATGGCCCAGGCAGACCCATTGCAGGAACGAGAGAGGCCCCCTTGCCACACAAAGGAATGAATGGCTCACGGCAGTCTACATTCACTGGTGAAACAAGGAAACTGTTGGGCGGAGAAGTACCACGTGAAGCATTTACAGTACCAAGCTCCAAACTCCACATAGGGCATATGTAATAGAGAAAGGAAGCTTAAATATCACGGTGTCACGGTATTCCATTTAATCCCAATTGGTTTTAGTTTTGGGAGATGTGTGAATACCAACAGCTAATTTGGCTCATTAATGATTAGATTAATCTTTAAATCATAGTGTTGATCTGGTAATCTGGTTAATAATTAACATTTCACGAAAGGTCAACCAACGGAGCATTTGATTAGAGGTTACAAGACATGAGCGACCAAACAAAGCAAGGACAAAGATCCTGTTATCTGGTGCTGATCGAACCGGCCCGATCGATCAGGACTTAACATCTCCTCCTGAAACCCCCCTTATCAAATCAGGGGAAGAGAGGGGAAATTTCAAATTAGATTAGCCAGCATTTCAAGTCAAACCCCTGTCTCCTCTCAGCAGAAAATCCATGCGAGTTCAGAGGGAGGTTAATGACGAGGCTCAGAACCTGATAAGGATCCTCAGCGCTTTCCTTACAGACGAAGAGAAGAAAGCAGGGACTGATTCGAGGTATTGTTGCATGCTGGCAGAACATATTTAGGCCTTTGACGAGGCAGATGTTTTTAATTTAAATGTGGTATCTTGAGCAGTTATCAATGTCTTGAAGTGTTTTGCGTTGGGTTTCTAGCTTCAAGATATGTTCTATCACAAGCAAACAGTCAGGGTTGACGTCTCTAAAGCATGCCAACTGAAAGCGAAGATAAGTTATAGTGCATGGCTTCAGTTAATGCAGCAAATGCATGCACTGCTCAGGATGGCTCCATAGTTTCATCCCGAGTAACAAATCCAGGGATAAAGGGATAGTTCACCCAAAAATGAAAATTCTGTCATTATTTGTATTAGGTTGTTCCAAACCTGTGTGACTTTCTTCAGTGGAACATAAAAGATATTCTGAAAAACGACTTAATGTTTTGTGTCCATGTAAAAGTCAATGGGGTCCAAATGTTGACTTTCAATGTGTGGATTAAAAAAAATGGTTAAAACATTCTTCAAAATCAGCTTGTTCAAAAAGCGAAAGAAAATCATACACTGTAACATGTTTTTGCATTTAAAAATGCAAGACGCAGGGCATTTTAAAGTGCTAGACTATTATTATTACATTCAAAAACAAAAGAAAACCAGCTCAAAAACTGCCATTTTGTGTGAACAGAACAGCTCTTAAAGGCTGGAATACACTACACAACTTTTACCCCGATTTTCTCCCCTGATAAACCAGCCATCCATCAAACAAGAAAAAAGAGCTGGGAGCCATTGAGGGAGGGTGAAACAGATAGATGAGGTGGAGCACTCTGCTGTAGCCCTGCATTAGCCATGGCTAAATATTTACAGTCCAGCCAAATGCCAGGAACAGGTGAGGGCAGCGATGGGTGGGAGCACAAACAAACACAAAAAACCCATATGGCCTTGAGAGAAGGGACAGGGCAATAGTGAGATGGTACATAATAGGAATGACAGAGAAAAAGACACACCAGAGTATTCAAGTTCTAATCAGAAGGAAACGAACTAAAAAAATGGTTGCCAAGCAACAAGGCAGTGCCACAGATAAGGCCCCTTTAACATTATAGCTGCCATGCGTACGCAGAGCACTTATGTCAATGGCAAGATTTAGCAGGTGAGAGAGCGAGGACGTGCCTGCAAATGAGTGAGAAAGAACAGTGTGACCATGTATTTAGGCGTTCTGGCTCCAGCTCAGTGAGCGGGAAGGCCAGTAGGGGTCAGGGCATTTCTACACACACTATCTCAAGCCGTCTCACTCTAGATCCCGAGAGAAGACAACATCAGGGAGGAACAAATAAAATTTTAACTAATTGCCTGTTACGGGCTCCTTCCCTCCTCCAGCTCCCTTGGGCTCAACAGGTTAATGTGCATCTCCATGGAGATTCAGCGGGCCACTCTAAACTCTTAATCAGGTAGGAATGAGGAAGCACTTTAGAGCAGAAAATCCATGCGAGTTCAGAGGGAGGTTAATGACGAGGCTCAGAACCTGATAAGGATCCTCAGCGCTTTCCTTACAGACGAAGAGAAGAAAGCAGGGACTGATTCGAGGTATTGTTGCATGCTGGCAGAACATATTTAGGCCTTTGACGAGGCAGATGTTTTTAATTTAAATGTGGTATCTTGAGCAGTTATCAATGTCTTGAAGTGTTTTGCGTTGGGTTTCTAGCTTCAAGATATGTTCTATCACAAGCAAACAGTCAGGGTTGACGTCTCTAAAGCATGCCAACTGAAAGCGAAGATAAGTTATAGTGCATGGCTTCAGTTAATGCAGCAAATGCATGCACTGCTCAGGATGGCTCCATAGTTTCATCCCGAGTAACAAATCCAGGGATAAAGGGATAGTTCACCCAAAAATGAAAATTCTGTCATTATTTGTATTAGGTTGTTCCAAACCTGTGTGACTTTCTTCAGTGGAACATAAAAGATATTCTGAAAAACGACTTAATGTTTTGTGTCCATGTAAAAGTCAATGGGGTCCAAATGTTGACTTTCAATGTGTGGATTAAAAAAAATGGTTAAAACATTCTTCAAAATCAGCTTGTTCAAAAAGCGAAAGAAAATCATACACTGTAACATGTTTTTGCATTTAAAAATGCAAGACGCAGGGCATTTTAAAGTGCTAGACTATTATTATTACATTCAAAAACAAAAGAAAACCAGCTCAAAAACTGCCATTTTGTGTGAACAGAACAGCTCTTAAAGGCTGGAATACACTACACAACTTTTACCCCGATTTTCTCCCCTGATAAACCAGCCATCCATCAAACAAGAAAAAAGAGCTGGGAGCCATTGAGGGAGGGTGAAACAGATAGATGAGGTGGAGCACTCTGCTGTAGCCCTGCATTAGCCATGGCTAAATATTTACAGTCCAGCCAAATGCCAGGAACAGGTGAGGGCAGCGATGGGTGGGAGCACAAACAAACACAAAAAACCCATATGGCCTTGAGAGAAGGGACAGGGCAATAGTGAGATGGTACATAATAGGAATGACAGAGAAAAAGACACACCAGAGTATTCAAGTTCTAATCAGAAGGAAACGAACTAAAAAAATGGTTGCCAAGCAACAAGGCAGTGCCACAGATAAGGCCCCTTTAACATTATAGCTGCCATGCGTACGCAGAGCACTTATGTCAATGGCAAGATTTAGCAGGTGAGAGAGCGAGGACGTGCCTGCAAATGAGTGAGAAAGAACAGTGTGACCATGTATTTAGGCGTTCTGGCTCCAGCTCAGTGAGCGGGAAGGCCAGTAGGGGTCAGGGCATTTCTACACACACTATCTCAAGCCGTCTCACTCTAGATCCCGAGAGAAGACAACATCAGGGAGGAACAAATAAAATTTTAACTAATTGCCTGTTACGGGCTCCTTCCCTCCTCCAGCTCCCTTGGGCTCAACAGGTTAATGTGCATCTCCATGGAGATTCAGCGGGCCACTCTAAACTCTCAATCAGGTAGGAATGAAGAAGCACTTTAGAGAGCACCTCCATCCACTTTTACCCTAATGAGCTTCAGCACAGACCAAAACAACATCATGCTGGTTCCCAGGCCTCTCTTCGAGAAGAGCAGACCTCAAACGGATTCCTTTTATTATTTTTTTTAATAAACAGAGATGGAAAAAATGTGATTCAGGGAATGATTAAGATGAATCACATGTATTGAACTGAATGCGATATTGAAAAGACCCTCCATGTGTAATTCCTGAAAAATAATTATCTCAGATAGACCAAAACATGCCAATTTATAATAGCCTATGTTTATAGGCTTCCGTGCACATTTATGAATAACAGTCCATGAAAAAACTGCAAAGGTAAAAGAGCGAGAGATAGAAAGAAAGCTGGGAAATATTAGGAGAGAACTTTTAGATTTATGAGTATGTAACATATTAAAAAAAAAAAAAAAAAAAAACTTCAGTCATGGTAGACGTCATTTGTTAGGGCTGCACGATTAATCACATGCGATTGTAATGCGCATCTCATCAGTAAAGCCGGTTCTGTGATTAGTAGTAAATCTCCATCACGTGCGTTCAGATGGAGTGGCATTTACTACACAGAGCCGTTGTTCACTGACAAGCTACGCAATATCACGTTCATAATCGCAGATGAATCGCCAAAATGTAATTTGAAAGGAATGAAAATGAGGATGTGGAAGATATATATATTAGGCGTGTCCCTGACTAAGGATTTTCATAGTCGAATCGGAATTTTCGAATCTTGCCGATATTCGACTGATAGTCGAATCATATGTTTTGGGGGCGGGGCAAAATACATTACCAAGAGTCAAGTCAGACATTCGACAGTCATAAATACTGATGTTAACACACAGGGAAAATGTGTAACGGACGCCTCGCAGATACAAACGGGGTAAATAATGTTTTATGTTTTGATTAAAAGAAAGTTAACATTAAACGTCAGCGAAACCCTAAGAATTCACAACATTTTTTACAATAGTGCTCTCATTATAATGTTATGTATATGACAGTAGTTATTAATGTTCTGCATTTCTGTTTTGAGCTGCGCGCGCTGAAGATGACCAGTAGAATGAAGCAGCAGGTTTTTAAT